TCTAAATGTTGGCGTCATGACCAACCTAGCTGAAACATTGGTGTTTTGCCCAGTGTATAGACCGGGCTGATTTTGCTCGGCCCACTCGGCATATTGGTGTCTTGTCCAAACCCAATGGAGACGAGAAAAAAGACCAGAACGAGCCGGCCAGAGACATTGAATTGAGAAGCTCCCAAAACCTGTCTGATTGTTGGAAGCTATTCATTGGCGAGATATGGAAGCTCTTCGTTGATGGAGCGTCCAACAGGCATGGGGCCGGGCTGGGAATTGTGCTGACCTCACCAGATGGGCTGATTATTGAGCAAGCAATTACGCTCGGATTCCCGGCGTCCAACAACGAGGCAGAGTATGAAGCCCTCCTCGCCGGTTTGAGAAGCGCATTGAGAATGAAAGCCACCGCCCTTATGGTCTTCAGCGACTCCAAGCTGGTGGTCAATCAGGTATCAGGGGAGTATGAGGCAAGGGATGGAAGAATGTCCAAGTATCAAGTGTTGGTGCGGGAAGAAATCAAGAAGTTCCCTGCGATAAGAGTGGAACAAATCAACCGCGAAGAAAACAACTCGGCTGACGAATTGGCTGGGCTCGCCTCCACTCAGACAGCTTTTCCTAACCCCTTGATGATAGAGTTTTTACCTCGGCCAAGTATTGAGGAACCGGAAGCAACCGAGGTGCTCTGTACCGACTTGGGTCCTTCCTGGATGGATCCCATCATCGCCTTCTTAAAAGACAGAGTTCTACCGGAAGAAAAGAAGGCAGCCCACAAAATCCGAGCAAAGTCAGAGCGGTTTTGGCTCTCCCCGTCTGGGGCCTTGTACAAGAAATCTTTCACCGGGCCGTATTTGAAATGTGTCTACCCCACCAAGGTGGAGGCTTTCCTCTATGAGATACATGAGGGCATCTGTGGCAGCCATACTGGGGGCAGATCCTTGGCTATGTTCGCAGGTGCGAGAAGTGTCAGAAGTTCGCCCACCAGATCCACCAGCTGGCTAGAGATTTGCTCCCTCTCACAAGTCCTTGGTCGTTCGCGCTTTGGGGATTGGATATTGTTGGACCACTCCCAGCAGCGTCGGGCAATCGCAAGTTCTTCATCGCCGCCACCGACTACTTCACCAAGTGGGTGGAGGCCGAGCCACTGGCGACCATAAAGGAAAATGATGTGAAGAAGTTTGTTTGGAAAAATGTCATTACTCGCTTCAGTATACCCAGGGCCCTCGTCTCAAATAACGGCACTCAATTCGATGGGAAGCTCTTTCGTGGATTTTGCGAAGAGTTGAAGATCGAGTTCTACAATTCGACGCCGGCCTATCCTCAGTCTAACGGTCAAGCAGAGGCCTCAAACAAGACCATCTTGGATGGGCTAAAGAAGCGGCTTGAAAAAGCCAAGGGGAAATGGGCTGAGGAATTTCCCAACGTGCTCTGGGCATACCGCACTACCCCAAGAAGGTCGACCGGGGAAACACCATTCGCTTTGGCCTACGGCATGGAGGCAGTCATCCGGTTGGAAATTGGCATGCCAACCATCCGCTCTGAAAGTTTCCAGCCTGATCTGAATAATGAAGCCGTGGCATTGGAATTAGACCTTGCCGAGGAAAGAAGGGAGCGGGCACTAATCCACATCACAGCTTATCAACAAGAACTCTCTAAGAAATACAACAAGGCGGTGCACCCCAGGCTATTCAAGGTTGGAGACTGGGTTTTGAGAAAGGTACTTGGCAACACGGTGCTCCCTGGCGAAGGAAAGCTCGGTGCGAATTGGGAAGGACCATACAAGGTGATTGGTCTAGCTGGCAAAGGGGCATACCATCTGGAAGATTTGGATGGCAAGGCTTCTTCGGATTGCCCTCTTGTCTTTGGC